TCAAGATCACTCAACCACTGTCCAGAGACAAAAACCAAGTCCAGTGTGTTTCCCCCAATGTGCGTAGGGCCATGAATTAGTTGGGTCAGGTCCATGGCCGTCATGGAAGCCATGAACTCTCGAGCCACCTCAGACGCCTCACCCACGGATGGCAGGTTGAAATCCCCCATGACCATAAGTCTGGGGGTATCAACCGCCACCGCGGCAATAACGTTGAGTAGCTCGGGCAGGGCTGCCGCCACGTGGCAGGGAGCCAGGTACGTGATCAGCAAACCCCTCTGAACCCCATGGCCCCACTTCACAAAGAGGGACTCACAACCAGCTGTCTGAGGTACAGTGGTCTCCCTCGGCCTAAGGCCTTCTCTAATAATAACCGCTACTCCCCCGCCCCTCCCCTGTGGCCTTGGCTGATGGAATGCGTGGAAACCTGGTGGGCACATTTCTACCAGAGGGACCCCTCCCTCTGGGCCCAACCAGGTCTCCGTAATACCCGCCAGGTCCGCTCCCCCCTCGTAAACAAGATCACAGATGAGGGGGGCTTTATTTACTACAGACCTGGCGTTGCACAACATCAGGCGAAGGCCCGGGCCCTGAAGGTTTGTACTACCTGGAGCACGGGTGGAGCTTTGGGGGCCGGAGCACTCTACCGCTTGAAGACAGCGGGCGCGTGCTCCCTTAACATGATATGGCCCCCTGCTCCCGCCATATCTACCTCTCCCACACACAGTACCGATGGTAGAAACACAATCTGGACCAGCTCGACCCCCTCCGGATGCCCCGCCACCCCCGCCGGACGTCCTGGCCAAGCCCGACTCTCCCCCTAGTGGGTTATCCCCCAAACCCACAACCCTAATTTCAATCCCACCCCCCTCCCCCCTCCCCAAACCCCTTAAAAGTTTAAACAAGGACAATTTTAAAAACCCCCGCAGCCCCCTCTTTGCGGCATGCCTTAGTGAATAGTTTGACAGTGTTTCATAGATGGAGGGGTGTGTGCGGAATTAGAGTTAAAACCACACTCTATGGAAAGTGCCCTGGCGTTTTAAAACTTCATTTAAAACCAAAAACAATGAATTGGTTCATTAATGGAAGGGTGGGGGGAAAATAGGGGTAGGGAGGTGCAGCAAGAGACAATAGTAAAAGGGCAAAAATTAAATGATGAGCATCCTGTAGTGATCAACCCAAGATATGTATGTATATACACTGCTCAAAAAAATAAAGGGAACACAAGGAGAAGACATCCGAGATCTGAAGGAATGAAATAGCTTTATTAAATACTTTGTTCGTTACATACAGTAGTTTTGTGTTCCCTTTAGTTGTTTGAGCAGTGTATAAACTACTGTATGTAAAGAACAAACTATTTAATAAGGCTATTCCATTCCTTCAGATCTCGGATGTCTTCTGCTTGTGTTCCCTTTATTTTTTTGAGCAGTATATATAATGAAGAGCTTTCGTTGGTAAAATAAGAAATGTAATGCCATTATGAATGAGGTACTGTGGTTCTGGCATAGAAAAAAAAGAAGAAAAAGAAGCAACATCTTATTTTCTGAGAACAGACTTCTACACAGTCCAAGCCAAGATTTATCTGCAATTTTTGGATTTGGCTAATCTATTTCAGAGTATTTCACGTCATCGTATTACTCAGCTGAATTTCATCAGGAGTTCTGCTGTACCTACCTCCAGATGCTGTAAGGAAACACCTGATTGTTAAGTGAATGGATTCTATGGGATTTATTCATAAAAAGCCTTGAGTGAGCTTTTCCATACTATGTCTAAGTCCAGTTCCTTAATCACTAAAATGCACATGTTTTCCTATAGCCTAGAATACCCGTGAAGGCCATTTTTATCCCACTGTGGGTCCTGAAATTGCAAACTGCTGTTCAGCATTACTGAAACCTGTCAAAGGGAGGCCTCTGCTTTGGATTTGGCTTACTAATTAGGAGTGTGTTGCTAATAGCGAGAGGATTTTCTAACCATCTCCTTGCGTTTGGAGTGGGGGTGGGGAAGACAAGGATAAAGTAGCTGCCTTCTTTCTAATATGTCAATTAAAACCAGCCCAAGTTGGTGCTTTATATGAAAATATATAAGAGCCTTGGTGGCGCAGCAGACTAAAATGCTGTTAAGTAGCACCAGCTGCCTGCAATTACTGCAAGTTCAAATCTCACCAGGCACGCGATGGCAAAAAGGTTAGCCATCACTGCCCTATACCATTTCAGACAAATGGCTATCCGGTCTCTTCTTGAAAGCTTCCAGTGATGGAGCACCCACAACGTCTGAGAGCAAGCAGTTCCATTGGTTAATTGCTCACACCGTTAGGAAACTTCTCCTTAGTTTTAGGCTGCTTCTCTCCTTGGTTAGTTTCCATCCCTTGTTTCTTGTCTTGCCTTCTGGTACTTTGGAGAATAGTTTGACTCCCTCATCTTTGTAGGAGCCCCTCAAATATTGAAACACTGCCATCATATCATGTCCTTCTTTTCATTAGACTAGACATACCCAATGCCTGTGACCGTTCTTCGTATTTTTTTTAAAAATTTAAAAAAAAAAAACTTTAAAAACTCAGACAAAGCTATTAAAGTTTAGAGCAATACATGAGTATTTTTAGAAGGATAGTAGCAACAGCATGCTTGCAGTCGTGCTATTGCTACTATCCTTCTAAAAATACAGCCACTATATTTGGAATAAAGAGTCTTGGGCATCATTGGAAGTTCTTCCATGGGAAGGCAAAAAATATGAAACAGTTTTTCCTTTTTTTCTGAACCTAAGCATCCATGCGATACGATTTCTCATTAAAAAAAGAAAAACTGGACACTTTCCCATGCTCATCAAAAGGATATCTGCCCTTTATTGCCTTCTTTGGGGGTGAAAAAACGATGGTTGGAAGAGAGAACAGCTCTTAAATAGTTTAGCCTCAACTGTTTTCCTCTCCTTCTGAATAGGAACTGGTCCCCAGGCCGCCTCTGTTGTGGGAGCAACAATTCTCACAAATAAATAGATCCCTTGTCTTTCGGGAGGGGGGAAAAAAGGGATTTTTTTAAAAGACCCAAATAAGGTCCTAATTAAAATCAAAATGCTGCCTTTGGTTTGGTTGGTCTTGTCTTTTGCATGGAATTGCACGTATGCCTTGGGGGTGGGGAATGACTTTTAGATGCCGCCTTTTGCTGCACAGAGTCACCTAGGAAACTTTTTGAAATGAGGACCAAGAGAGATCATGAAAGCAAGAGAGGAAGGCTAATTTGTGGTACAAAATTTTTAGCCCGAGGAGACGTTTCTTCATATACCAGAAAGGAGAAGCTGAAAGATAGCATGTGCTATTGTACTCATTTGTTAATAAGTCTATCTTTCAACTTTGGTTTTTGCAGGATACTGCAAAATCTCCATTCCTTCCCCACTCCAGGGGAAGGATACTGTAAAATCTCCATTTCCACCCCACTCCAAGGGAAGGATACTGCAAAATCTCCATTTCCTCCCCACTCCAGGGGAAGGATACTGCAAAACCTCCATTCCCTCCCCACTCCTGGGAAAGGATACTGCAAAATCTCCATTCCCTCCCCATTCCTGGGGAAGGACACTGAAAAATCTCCATTCCCTCCCCATTCCTGGGGGAAGGATATTGCAAAATCTCCATTCCCTCCCCACTCAGGGGCCAGCTAGAAGTGGTATTTTCTGGTTTTCCGAACTACTCAAAGTTTCCGCTACCGGTTCTCCAGAACCTGTCAGAACCTGCTGGATTTCACCCCTGCTGCCATCTGTCAGAAATGGTGTAGAGTCTACTGCTTGGGTGTGGGTTGGACTAGATGACCAACAATAACTCTGTTATAACAATCTTAAAACAAAGTGTTTGGTGTCCTCTTTAAAATGCATAATTTCATTTTTGTAATTCCTGGTAGGTAGGTAAGTAAATAGAGATGAGACAGAGAGAGAGAGAGAAGAGAGAAAGATGGATGAAATGGTGAATGGATAGGAAGATCCATTCGGATGATCATGATGATAATTTTAGCTGTAAAATATGGGGCCTGGTGGCTCAGCAGACTGAAAGCATTGTGATTAACACCAGCTGTCTGCAATTACTGCAAGTTCAAATCCCACCAGGCTCAAGGTTGACTCAGCCTTCCATCCTTTCTAAGGTAGGTAAACTGAGGACCCAGTTTGTGGGGGCAATAAGCTGACTTTGTATAAATATACAAAGGTATGAAGGCTATTGCTTAACGCATTGTAAGCCGCCCTGAATCTCCAGAGAAGGGTGGCATATAAATCAAATTAAAAAAAAATGAGTAGATGAAACAACAAACAAGAATACAATTGTCATGAAAGACTATGCAAACACATAAACGTGGAGTGATATATAGAACAGTGGTACTCTATAAACTGCAACAAATGTAGCAAAGCACAAAATTTAATTAGATTGCCATAAGGCAAAAAAAGAAAAAACTAAAATTAATAACACTAATAACTAATATCTGCCTAATATCAATCTCATCTGTTTGGGCTCTACCGAAAAAAAAATGAAGAAAAAAAATAGAGATATTCAGAGAAGATAACCTAAGGCAGATCTAAATGTCCTGCGAATTGTCTGAAAGTCCTGTATTACAAAAATGCAAATTGTTTACAGGTGGTCTTTGACATATAACAGCTCATTTGATGACATTCAAAGTTATGACGGCACTGAAAAAAAGTGATTTCAGACTCACAACCTTTGCAATATCCCCATATTCACGAGATCAAAATTTGGACGCTTGGCAACTGACTCGTACTTATGACGGTGGCTGTGTCCCGGCGTCATGTGACAGTGGGGAAGCCGGATTCACTTAACAACCGTGTTACTAACTTAACAACTGCAGTGTTTCACTTAACAACGGTGGCAAGAAAAGTCGTGAAATGGGGGCAAACCTCACTTAACAAATGCTTCACTTAGCAACAGAAATGTGGGGCTCCGTTGCGGTTTGTACGTTGAGGATCACCTGTGCTATACTGTCCTTGATGGAGCATGTTCTTATTTTCTTCAGGCATTGCTTACCTTGGAGGAATCTGCAGCTTGAAGAGGAAGTGTGTCCTTGCAGAAGACAATGGACTCAACCTGGCCTTCACCATTGCTCACGAACTGGGACACAAGTAAGAGCCAACGCCGGCATTTGCAGTATTGTTTTGAGTCGGTACTAGCATTAAGAGACCTTGATACACTGTCAGGGTTCCAAGGAATAGATCCATTGCAAGCAAAACTCCAAGGCAGGTAGATTCCTCAAAGAATATTATGAGCCTTGGTGTTGCAGTGGTTAGAGTGCAGCACTGCAGGCTACTTCTGCTGACTGCCAGCTGCCTGCAATTTGGGCAGTTCGAATCTCACCAGGCTCAAGGGTGACTCAGCCTCCTAACCTTCCGAGGTGGGTAAAATGAGGAGCCAGATTGTTGGGGGCAAGAAACTGACTCTGTAAACCGCTTAGAGAGGGCTGTAAAAGCACCGTGAAGCGGTATATAAGTCTAAGTGCTATTGTTTGTGCTATTTATTGGAAATACCATATTGGCACATATCTGGTAAAAACCGACTCTGAAGGATCCCTCAGTTTTCATCTAATTAAAAGTGAAAGTTCCCCCACCCAATCCCAAATAATCAGTCACATAGCCCAATCAAAACAGCGTCCACTGGACTGGTGACATCCCTCCTGCTTCCTCCGGCCAGGTGTGAGAATGTCCTTGGTTCCCAAGAGAAAGTATTTTGCTTTGACTACACAGCCCCAACTATCTCTAATCCCCCCCTCCCTATCCCTCAGCTCCAGCGTGGCAGCACTGAAGCTCCAAGATGGCTTCGGCCAGGCCAGCTTCAGGGTTGACATACAGATTCACTACAACTGATTCTCTTAAGTTGCATCCCTTCTAAAAATGGATCTAAATGGGGGAAAAAAATCTTAGTGGTTGGAAGAGAGCGATCTTGCTCCAGGATAACCTAAGCGAAAACCCTCAAGAAACCCAGGAGTTTGGATCATAAAATGTTTTGATCGCATTTATTGATTTATTTTGTAATTGATTTATTTTGTAATTGATTTATTTTGTAATTGATTTATTTTGTAATTGATTTATTTTGTAATTGATTTATTTTGTAATTTATTGCAAATATAATATACATGTCCCAGGATAACATTGCCAGTCTGGGTCGTTCACCAGATGATACGTGGGCATCCAAGCTCGATCATCTCAATTCCCCAAACGGGAAGTAAAACAAAACTGCAATTATCCAGATGTGTGAAGTACAGAGACTTATAATGTATATTATAAGCTGTTTTGCTTCACAAGGGATTCTGCAACAGCCCAGAATAATTGAGAAGGAGAGTGCATTATCCTGGCCACAGCAAACAACAAGCTGGCAGGCCGCCATTTTGTAATTTATTTTATTTTGTATTTTATGATGAATGTAATATACATGTCTCAGGGTAATGTTGCCAATCTGGGTCATTCAGCATGACGAGAGGTTTAGTCCTCTGAGTTTTTGGACTTGTGCTGGAGCCCATCCTCAGGGAACTTCTCTGTACCGGAATGTGTGCTTTGGGCTATTCTATGCATAATATTTATGTGCCGCCTGATTGTGTGTGGCTTTTTAGTTGTTGTTTTGGAGTGTTGATGGCCGGCTGTTATGTCATTGGCTGTTGTTTCCTTGTGCTGCCAAGCCCTTGGCCCCTAAGTTTCTGATTAAAAGGTAAAGGTTCCACTCGCACATATGTGCTAGTCGTTCCTGACTCTAGGGGGTGGTGCTCATCTCCGTTTCAAAGCCGAAGAGCCAGCGCTGTCCGAAGACGTCTCCGTGGTCATGTGGCCGGCATGACTCAACGCCAAAGGTGCACGGAACACTGTTCCCTTCCCACCAAAGGTGGCCCCTATTTTTCTACTTGCATTTTTTTTTTACGTGCTTTCAAACTGCTAGGTTGGCAGAAGCTGGGACAAGTAACAGAAGCTCCCCCCATTACGCGACACTAGGGATTCAAACCGCTGAACTGCCGACCTTTCGATCGACAAGCTCAGTGTCTTAGCCACAGAGCCACCGCGTACCTGATTAGCTAGTGGTAAATCAGCACTCCTGTTGACTGACAAAGGGCCCCATTTCCCAGGCGTCAATCATTTTCCTGGAATCTTTGTACCTGGCTTGGCCAACAATTATAAACGAAGGTAAATATACATGTTCCAACATAACCAATCTGGGTGGGTCACGAGGACCAGAAGTTTAATTTTCTGAGCTTTCAGACTTCTGCTGGAGCCCATCCTTGGTGAACTTCTCTCCACCAAAATGTGGGCTGTTCTGTGTATATTGTTTATAGGGTGCCTGGTTGGGTAAAGCTTCGTATTGGTTGATTGGGGTGTTGATGGCTGGTGATTGGCTGTTGTTTCCTTCTGCTGCCAAGTCCTTTTGTTTTCTTTTTAAATTTCATTTCATTCAGAAATGACATTTATTTGCTGCCCATCTTGTATCCAATGACTCTGGGTGGCTTACCACATAAAAATATTTTTTTTTAAAAAAATTAAAACCACCAATTATAAAATAATGCAGCAGATAAAATCATTAACAAGCCTTTGCTTATTCCCATTTTCTTTTTTAACCAAGGTGAACACTGGGGGCATCTTGAAATTTTTTTTATTAGGGGAAACGTTTAAATGATGCCACAAGAGTTTCCGTAAGACTAGTAAGGTTTCATAAAAGCGTCTTTGTGTTTATGCTTAATGGATAGTCTGTGAATCATTCATAAAGAAGTCTTTATTTTGGGGGTAATTGATGGGTGCCTGTTACTCCTTTTAGTATTCAAAGTAACTGTTTGGAGAAGAGGATGGATGTTGATTCTGGAGGCAACGATTAGTCATTGAGATTTTGGAACCAAATATGAAAATAATAACATCTCCAAATACAAAAACCCAAGGCTGCTGATTATAGAGCTAGCATGATTATTATAAATTATATATTTTTTGTTTTCCTACATGTGGATTCAATGATTCCAAGTACAAAAGTAAGAACTGGTGATTGAGGGGCCTTGATGCTTTGGGTAGATCAGGGGTCAGCAACTCGTGGCTCTGGAGTCGCATGTGGCTCTTTCATCCCTCTGTTGTGTCTCCTTGTCGCTGGTTGGCTCCACAATTGATAGGGCTTTTGGTTAGGACAGGTATAGGAAAAAGGACGCTGTGCTAGGAGGAGACTCTATGGTGGTGGTGGTGTGGGGGAACCAGACTTCCGGTCGGCATAGGAAAAAGGACGCCGCACTAGGAGGAGACTCTATGGTGGTGGTGGTGTGGGGGAACCAGACTTCCGGTCAGCATAGGAAAAAGGACGCCGCACTAGGAGGAGACTCTATGGTGGGGGAACCAGATCTCTGGTCGGCTCCAGAATTGAATGGGGGATTTCCGGTTAGGACCTTTGTGGCTCTTTGAGTGTTTAAGGTTGCCAACTCCTGAGGTAGATTAATCAGATAGCGGGTATATATTCATTATATTTTGAAGCCACCCGATTTCCAAAAAGATTTTGGGTGGCTTTTATGAGAGACCTACAGTATGTAACCTTCTTGGTTTTTCTTGGAGATTTACGGGGAGGCCCAAGAAATAATTAGGGCCCCACCATGATCTGACAAGATGAAAAGAAATATTGAGTTTTTCTGTCTTTGACATCAAAAAGATACCTGAGCCAAACCAGGGGTTGTTTGAACAGAAGTGAATGATGAGAAGCTTATGCCAAGCTGTTGAATCAGTTTTCAGCCTTAATAACACGCTAATCTTTGGACTGCTGAAGTGGGGAAACCATTGTTTAATGATGAAAGGAAATGATGCTTGCTCATTAGCTTCCCAGGCTTCTGAGGACTTTCTTATTTATACTGCAAGCATTTATTTTTAGTTCTCTTGGCTTCCCTGAAGACTTACCGTATTTTTCAGACTATAAGATGCACCTGACTATGAGACGCACATAAATTTAGAAGAGGAAAACAACAAAAAAAGTTTTTTGCCTACCTTTTTTGGGGCCTTTTCCAGCCTTTTCCACTCTGATGGAGTGTTCTTATTTTTCCAATATTCCATCCCTCCTGCAATTTAATCTGCTACCTCTGGCCCAGTTCTTCTTTTCTGCTCATGTATAATCAGAAGTGAATCATTTTCTAGCATAGGAGTTTGAAGTACCGTGTTCCCCCGAAAATAAGACCTCCCCAAAAATATTTAAACGCATGCACAGCTGGTTCCTGCAATTTCCTCTGGTTAGGGTTAGGGAGACAAAGCTGGAAATCAAGAGGAGTCCCGTCTTGCTCCACGCCCCCCAAAATAATAAGACCTCCCCGAAAATAAGGCCAAGCGCTTATTTCGGGGTTCAAAAATATAAGACGGGGACTTATTTTCAGGGAAACACGGTAGATGTGCCTCTCCTTTCTTCTTTTAGTCGATCACTTCTGGCACCAATTCGTCAATTCGATCTTGATGACTGTTTAGGGAATTTGTTTCTGGATGTTTGGTCTTGCTCAAATCTGTAGGAACACAGAGCAAGCTTGAGCAAAAACGGTCTCCAGCACTTAGAAGGCCTGGACCAAATTACATCCCCAAGACAACCTCGCTATGGATGAGGGAGATGATAGACGTGGGCATCCAAGCTTGATCTTCTCAATTCCCCAAACAGGAAGTAAAACAAAACTGCAAATTATCCAGATGTGTGAAGTACAGAGACTTGCCTGTAATGCACATTACAAGCTATTTATGCTTCACAAGGGATCCTGCAACAGCCCAGGATAATTGAGAAGGAGAGTCCATTATCCCGGCCACAACAAACAACAAGCTGGCAGGCCTCCATTTCTTCTCTTTAGGTTTCGTAGGCGTTGGTTTTCCTCAGCTCAGGCTGAAACACGGACGGTAAGCCAAAGAACAGAGTAGGTCAGAAGGAGGAATTATTTTGGTTTCTTCTTTTGTTCTCTTGTTTTCTCTGGGGGATTATTACGGATGACAGTTCATGCTCACAGGTGGCCTTTCTTGCATTTAAAACAATAAATAAATAAACCCTCTTACCACTCTAATTTCAACATGGATGACATGCAGCTGTCCTTACTGTCATGTGACACTCGTAGGTGTAGTTTGAAATATCCCTTTTTTCTGTTTTGGGGAACATTTCC